CCGCCTCAGCTCCTCCAAGGGGGAAGGGGAGCGAGTTCCCACGGACCCTCCTCCCCTCTTACCTTCAGCGTCGGCCGAGGAGACGAACGTGAAGTCCCCGTTGCCCGGCGCGTAGAGCAGCGGCGGCGGCGGCGGGGCAGGAGGCTGCTGGGCACCGGGAGGCTGCATCGCCCCGCCCGCTTAGGCCAGAGATCGAAGGGACGACGAAGCAGCCCGTCAACGGCGACCCGAGAAAGGCGGAGGAGGCGACCGCCTCCCGCTTCTAAGGGACGGGCATAACGACAACACTAAGACCGACGCTCTGATTGGACCTCTGTAAAGCTCCGTTTGATTGGCGAGCTGAAAAGACTTCCTGATGTCGTCACTTCTCCCGCCTCTGTGCACAATGTGATTGGACATAGGTGCCAACGTGCCTGCTGATTGGGTGAATCAAGCAATCAATTAGGTTGAGGAAAGTGGAATTACAGTAGATCTGTGGCGCAGGCTACGGGTCCGGGCTTGGTCTGTGCGGTAGCGCTTATGGCAGCGCCGTTGTTTTCATGATATGTGCCTTGGTTCCTCTTTTTTGTGAATCCCACGGTTTTCATTGCTGTTCACATGTGAAGTGCTGGTAGCAGTGAATTATTAATAAAAGCATGGAATTACAGTTAATATTCCTGGGTCTGACATCATTCAGTTTTACTAAAATCAGTTTATTTAAGGAGTCTATATCTCACCTTTTCCCCTGAAAAAGAAGTCAAGTTGATGCACAGGTTCGTATTGCTAGTCCCGACTGGAGTAGACCTATTAAATCGGTTAAGGTCAATGTAAATCCCATTGACTTAATGTATCATTTTTAGTTGGGACTGAACTAATTCTGAACAGGATTCTAACCTGTGTAAAAAAAATTTAGCTGCTGTATAGCTCAATATTTTAGGTATCACAGGCTGGAAATTCAATTCCCTACTGTCCCTCCTTGATGGACTGGATTCGATGATTCATGGGATCTCTCCCAGCTATGTAGTTCTAAGATTGTTCTTAACCTGTTTCCCCAAAAATAAGACCTAGTCTGAAAATCAGCGGTAGTATGATTTTTCAGGATGCTCGTAATATAAGCACTACCCCAAAAATAAGCCCCAGTTCAGTGAAACCCTGCCTTCCACCACTGGGAAAAAATAAAACATCCCCTGAAAATAAGCCCTAATGCAATTTTTGGAACAAAAATTAATATAAGACTCTTATTTTCAGGGAAACACGGTATTATTATTAAAACATTCTTCGAAATCCAAATAAATGACAGTCATTTAAAGTTTATTAATCCAGCAAATTTTTTAATTTAAAATGTAATAAAATACAATACTGTATACTAAACCATGAAATAGTTATAAACCATCATATCGCACATAACAAACAAATCAAATGATAATACTAGTTAACATAGAACATTCTTCTATAAATCAGCATGAGTAACTTGGGCGTTAATGGTAATAATCAGTATTATTACAATAGAATAGAATTTACTTTATTGCCATTGTACTTCCGTACAACAAAATTAAATGCCATCTCCCATACACATAATAATAAAAACACAAGAACATAGCATCCATAAAATAAAAACATAGCACATTACGCATGAAACACATCCCTCTCATCCATATCCTTCACATTCAGTTTCCCATCGCACAACATGGTAATATTGCGCTATATACTACAGTGGAATTCAATATAGCTGCAGTTCTGGGACAGAAACTGTTTTTCAACCTATTTGTCTTTGTTTTAATTATCCTATACCACCTACTAGATGGTAACAATTGAAAGAGGGAATGACAGGGATGTGATGGATCTTTGATAATATTTTGGGCTTTCTTAAAACATCGGGAATTATAGAGATCTTCCAGAGAGAGAAGAGGGCACCCAATAATCCTGTGGGCCATTGTAATAATCACCTGGATCATCTTCCTATCTGCCATTGTACAGTTAGCAAACCATATACCAGAGCAATAGGTTAAAATAATCTCTATGATACAGCGGTAGAAAGTTACCAGCAGTTTTCCATTCAATTCTTGTCTCCTGAGAAGTCTGATCATCTGCATAAATACTGAATAAAAGGAATAGAAAGAATGAAAGGAATACAATACTGAATAAAAGGAAGCCAGGTAAAACAAGTCTGTAGTGGAATTCTGATACCTCAGTTGTGGTCAGTGAGGTTTTTTTTTAAACTAATTTCCATACCCTGGATTCCCAAACAGTAACTGAAATTTCTGCAGCTGTCTTCCAACATTGAGCAATTGTTTGCCCAGCTGCTACACACATAAAATAATTGACTATTCATGGTGCATTAGAATCTAAAAATAAATTCATTAATCCCAATGCTGGACGTATACCCATACTTTGTGATGTTATATTTCTAGTTTGACCCAGAAATTATATATTCTAGGACAGTGCCACCAGGAATGTACAGTAAATATGTACCAATTCCTTACAGACTGTCCAACAATTTGGGTTATAATTTTTGTTTATATGATTCAATTTCAATGGGGTATAATACCTTTGGTGTGCTACTTTGAGGCAATTCTCTCTTAGCATAGTTAAGATTGATTTAAAAGTATTCGCGAAGGCTTTCACGGCCGGGATCTAATGGTTGTTGTGGCTTTTTCGGGCTCTTTGACTGTGTTCTGAAGGTTGTTCTTCCTAACGTTTCGCAAGTCTCTGTGGCCGGCATCTTCAGAGG